GCCCTTCAGAATTCGGGGACAGGGGGCGGCTCCCCCCCCCACCCCCAGATGCCACCTTTCCCGAGGCCAACGAGTTGCTTTTCGGAGTGTTCAAAGCTGAAGACCTTTGAGTCCCTGAGCATGTGGATTCGAGCTCGTGTTTCCGCCAAACACTTGGGGCCCAGGTTGACCGTAGAGACGCCCAGCCTGAACCAGGCGCGCCGGCAAGCACGAGCTGCGAGTCACGAGTTTTGACTAGGGAGTCAGGGGACCATGGGTTCTGACAAAGCAGGTTCCAGCTTCACGTTGCAAGACTGTGTGTGGAACTAATCTGTCAGAAGGTTTCACAGGGAAGCTGGGGTAGCTTCCAGGAGGGCAAGGGGCAAGACCGAGCATTGCAGGCTTCATGATGAAGGACGACTTGAAAGGGATCCATTTGCCCATTTCAAGATTGAATCCCAGATTGGATGATGTATACAGGGTAATTTGTCTGTTTGGGTCGTTCTCAAGCTCCATGTCAGCATTTGCGGTCACACCTTGAGCCCCCCCCCTGCGCATGAGAAAAGAGCTGGACCTGTTCCTGGGAAAAATGTGTTTTGGGTTTCTAAGGGGGGGTGTAATCCAACCAAAGGGCACCACAGCTTTGTCTGCATCAATCCCCGATCAAATTTCCTGTAGCCCTTGTGAATAGGGCTAATCATTAATTTAGCAACCCTACCAAAGAATTTCGACTTGACAAGCTTTGTGGTGGGCAGTGCTGACCTGAAGCAACCCTTTGTATGGTTCCCAAGCTTTCAGCCAGACCCCGAGAGCGCGAACCCTTGAACCATCTCAGGGTCCAGCACAGGGCAACGGGTCCGGCTGAATCTTGAATGTCAAATGATTGCCGGACAAAACCTCATCAAGTTCATGCCCACCATAAGTCTCGCATGATCTTTCTACATCCATTTGGGTATGCGTCAGAACAGGCGTGTGTGTGTGTGTGTGCTGTGTGGGGTGTGTTGGGGGGGGGGTCAAAAATGGTGGTTGTCCTTTTGGTTTGCCCCCAAACCAACTGGAGAAGGGTTTTCCTCGAAAACACGCACCCGCATGCCTTCCCCATGTCCCTTCGATATTTCTCTGGCCTTTTTTGGGACGTCTTTCAATTGGACCCCAGAGGCCGTTAACGCGCTGGGCGGCATCAAGGTGGAGGGCCAGGTGGCAGGGCGCCTCAGCGGAGGGCAAGAGGGCCCCTTGGCTTTATCGACTTTAACTGATCCTTTGGCTTTATGGACTTTATGCTTTCTATTTGGCAACGGATCCTTTGGCACTTTAACTGTTTGGTTGACACAGGCCCGGATTTGCCATTGGACCCAGAAAAGGTTAAGACCGGGGTCAACTACAGCGAAGCTGGTTCACATTTGAGGGCGTTCTCAGAATTGCTTTCTTGAGTGGGGGGGGGGTCCCTTTTGAGACCATCACTTAGAGGGTAATTGTGAGGCTCTTTGATGACCCAGTAGGTAGGTTGTATCTATGGTTAGAAGTGGGACAAGAGGGCACGCAACCATGGTGGTAAACCAGTCACTCAGTAGGTTTGATTCCCCAAATGCAGTGGATGAACAAAGTCTGCTTCGCACCAGTGGGTAGCTGCTAAATTCCCAGTATTCCGAGGGTTGCATCCCAACTGGTGCAGCGCTGTCAATCCGTAGTGTTGCTAAATAGCGTAAGCAACGGGGGTTGCCCTTGCCACCTATTAGCAATATTTAGGGCAGGGGCCACCTGGGATATATATATATATATATATAGCTGTGCATATCAGTCGGACATCCAAGCTGGCGGGGAAACGGCCAAGTGAGGGCTTGCGGCTAGTGTTGTCGGGAAAATTTAGCGGAAAACAAGACAGGACACCGCCCCTTGGTCAGAAAATGGAGGAGTCAATGGGAAAAGAATCCGCAAACTTGTTTTCAAATTGGTTGTGGATGCGACCACCCACTCTTCTACAGACTAGAACCCTCATTTGTAGAGGATTCTCCTTTTGGGAGACTTGCACCCCCCTTTGGCTTCCACGTTAATCTGGGGAGGTACCCCCACGTTGGGTTTCCTTCTGGAAAGGCCATGATTTGAATGGCCGGAATCGAGCCTCGGGATCCCGTTCCACAGGCGCTGGACGATGCCAAGTCTCAGGAGGCGCGCTGAGTTTGAGCTGAGCTCGGTTCACGTTTTCGGGCTTGTTCCATTTGTTTCTGATGCTTAGATGGTGGTTTGGGTTTCATTTTTTGGGCTTGGACGACCAGTTTTGCGTTTCTAGCAGGGGCTGAATCCTGAAGAGAAGTTGGGTTTTGGCAGACTCCGCGCAGACAGGGGCGAGGTTGTGTCGAATGGCCAGGTGGTTGTTTGGCCAAACGAGTCTAGAGATGTGGGGTTTTGATGAGACCAACATGAGGCACTCTTGCCCTTCAGAAGGGTTTGGTCGTTCTTTGCCGACTCTGCCGCCCGTGTTCTGTTGGTGCGGAAGGGGCGTGTTTGCCAAACAGTCATAGAATTGCTTCCTGGGAAAACAGCGCCTGCCAAGGTGGCATCCTGAAAGTTGCCATGTAAGCAACATTTTACGGGAAACCTGCCCGTACCCCAAGAAGCAGCAGCCCCCTCAACATGCCACAGCCTTCATGGCGGGAAAAGTCAAGCGACGCGGAGTTTCACAGGCTTGCCTCAGTCATCGGGAAGCCTGGGTGCATCATTTTGAAACTGCCCATGAGAGGTTTGGTGGCAATGTCCAGTCTATGGTCCATTCAAATGTCCAACCCTGCTTCCAGGGTTTACATGGGGGTTAATTGGGGGTTTCCGGCCACTTAGCCAACTCTTGGACGATGTAATCTAAGCTGGGGGCTCTATAAAAGAGCCCCACCTCCTTGTTGTGAGCAAGTACCGACCCGGTATGCTGAAGTCTGAGTCTAACAGGGGATGAAAAGCAACAAAGCGCCGGAGGGAACGCGGAGTTGATGTGGAAAGGACAACAACCAAACAGGGCGGGTACCGAAGTAGTTCCTAACCCGTCTCCCAAGCTGGAGAAGCGTCAGAGCTCACTGTTCACCCCAGTTCCTGAGAGGATGCACCCAAACATCACCTGGTACATGTAGAACCCCTTTGACCAGCTGCAAAACGTGGTTTCGAGTTTGGCCGAAATGTATCCTTTCAGGAATCTCGACATTTTCAGCCGACGGAACTTTCCGCCGGGTAAGCCTCGCTAGGTGACCTGCCTGGCAATCGACAGCGCTGATCGCCAGCAGCTGGTGGTCTGAGCTCCGCTTGAGCGAGGATCTCTGCGCCTCTCAGACCCAGATGTCTCTGACTTCAAATTCGCCTCTCCCCGCACAGTTGCTTCGCGCGAAGGGAGAATTTGTGGGCGCGACCCCGTGGAGCAGTAGTTGGCAGTACATTTCCATGCAATGTCAACCGTTGCCATATTTTTTTTTGCATCAGAACGTAAGATAGGTTTAACAGGGCGCAAACATGAGTCCTTGTTGGCTTTTCCAGGCTTTTTCCTTCCTGAGAATCACCCAGTTGAATGGCAAGTTCGTTGCTACGCGGTGCCTCAGCGCTTCAGCCGGCAGTTCCCTAGACAAAGGCTTGGGCCAACAAGCGCCCATGGACAGCCTGGTAGTCGAAAATGGCTGCGTGATCCCACCTTAATTAGCAGGTCTTCGGGGAGACCTGTGGAATTGCGATTCCAGTCGCCTTTGCGAATGGAATGACCGAACTTATGACCAAACCCTAAAAATGGCTCGTCCCAGCACAGGTCCACCAAAAAAGCGGAACCACTGGCCCTTTCTGCCACCCCTGTACGGCTGCTGTGTCAACATCATTAGGTGCACTCTGTCCGACTTTGATGACTTTTGGCTACCCCAGGGTCTTGCTTTGGAGCAGTCTTTGAGTAGTCTACACGCTTCCGCAGGTTTGCACCGGGGTCTCCGAGTCTAGGGGCTTTGCCGCGCTTTCTTTCTTGTCGCAGGGCTGCTGCGACCCTCCAACCAAATACGAAACCGCCAGGGGGAAAAAGTGGCATCGGGGCCTTTCGGCTTCCTTGTCCGACTACCCTCTTTTCGTCGATTTTGCAGGCATGTGGGATATGTCCAGCGCCATTTACCCCGTTTCACTGAAATGGAGAACTCGTCTTTGGGAGTGAAATCCTTGCAGTGAAACTTCAGTGGAATTGTATGTCACACAAGCCGGATTTTGTTGCCTACCTAAAAACGCCGGAAGGGCAAGCCCGATTGCCCTGTAGCATCGGTTTCCCGCGTTTCGCTTTGAAATCAACCAGCAAAGGAAGGGTCTCCTTTTCCTGATGGGCCGGGCAAGAATGCTGCGATAGTGGGCGCCTGGTGCCATGCACTACAAAGGAGAAGTCCTGCACAGCTGTTGTTAGGGGGCGGAACTTTCGATCGGGACTGAGAACATCACGTTACAATTTGCGCCAGGGTTAAAAGTTAAAAAGTTGCTTTACTTGGGGCTAATAAAGGGATGGGCATCAATCCCTTTATAGTGAATTTAGGGAATTTAGACTACCATTGCAAGAGTTCCTACGAAGGAACCATACCATATGCACACAAGGAGTTTTGACCGCGGCGCACGTGGATGACTTTCCGGAACACTGCACCTTGCTATGTGATCAAAGTCTTCCACCTTTGTTCCAGCTTGATTGAAGGAGTCCTTGGTTCAACGCTCACCGCTAGTTACGAATACAGAGCACTCAGAATCAAAACCTACCAACATCTTGGCAGGGGTAAAAGGCCTGATTACTGGCATATCTGTGGTGACCCCCGGGGGTCTATGAATTGACCAGTTCCGGGGCTCCGTTTTTTGCGCAACCCCAGAAGGCATACTTGCATGCAGGGCTGGCTAGTATCCCAAAAAGGGAACCCGTCAGTTTATGCCCGCCTTAGGGTTTGCTTGAAAAAGGAAGCCCTGACCAGAGTCCAGACCCTTCTCCAGCAGCCGCTGTGTTGCCTCAGTCTCAGATTTTGATTGAAACAGCTGGCCGTCAGGACTCCCCCAGACCCTGGCCGAAGGGAAACTCCGTCAAGGAGTTCCGCAGCAAGGTGAAAGGCCAGAGCTTACAGAGGGTCCAACTCACAGGGGCTCCCGGAAGGTCATCCCTGGAGCCCAAGCTGGGTGTGACTGGACCCACTTGTTTCTTGTAGGCCCTATAGGTTTCAAAAGGCCAGAAGGCGAAGCTGATATCCCAAAAGGTGTGGATATTCGCAGACTTGGCGTTTTCCCGTGGGTGTCGGGTAGACTTAAGGGTAGTCTCCCAGGTTTTGCCCCAGAGGCGGGCCGAATTTTGAGGATGTTTGACCTGGTCTTTATTGCGACTCACCAGGCACCACCGTCCAGATCGCCGGCCAAGCCCGCTCCAACGACGCAGGCGCCGGATCGATCGGGTGGCTGTGCAAAGGACGCCTAAGACGTGGATTGTTTCTGGGCAAGTTATCTTCCTGATTTATTTCCAGCGGTGAAGAATGGCAAATTGCGCAGACTGTTTGCAGGGTTGGGCGAAATTGGCTTCCAGCTGAGTATGGCCGGCCCAAATGGTCCGAATGGAAAGGTGCTCAAGCATGGCTTGGTTGTGAATACTATAATATGGGCGCGATTGCTTTTGCGGGAACCTCCTGATTTTTGTTGTTTGATAGGGATGCACAACGGCAAACATTGTCGGGGACCCCCCATTGAGGGACAACTGCACATGCTTCGTTTATGTGGCTCATAGACCGCCCTCAGAACCATCCTCGCAACACAACTCGCGCTGTAATTCTTCCTGGAAACCTTGAAAGTGGACAGGAAGCTTCCGCGAAGAAGAACATAAAGTCACAACATGCGGTATTTTCTATGCGGCCGTCTGCGCGCCGTGGTCAAACAACTACTCAGCCTTGCCTCCGAACTAAGACCCAGTTGTTCCGACAGCCTGTTTTTCGACCTCCATAGTTTTACCAGTTGCTTGTTTGTTTGGCCATGTTGGGCCGAAGAATGACTTGGGGGTCCCAGACGCCGGGTCCCCGCCCGACTCGCGGCCAGCCGATCCGCAGGCTTTGGCGTGCACCCCGAGAAGCGGATCTTGGCGCTGCAGGCGAAGCTCGAGGCGGATGGGTTGGAGAGATTTTCCCCCCCAAAGAAACGTTGTAGGTAGATCAAGGGAACCACCTTGAAAGACCACTGTGGTACACCAAAGGAACCTAAAGTGGACCTAAAGTCAACCAGAATCATAGCCAGATCCACGCAAACAAAAAGGTTTCGTAGGCAACAAGGGAACCACCCTCTAAAACCAAAAGGGGAATGGCTGGTTACCTGTTAATTATTGTGGTAGATGGGATCTAAAAGGGATCGGCTGGTTACCTAGTGGCTTGCCTGGGATCCACTGGATGGGTTTGAGGGACGGATCAGGGAGCAGGGGATGACCATAAACCCCCGCTTTGCCAACGGACCACAAGCGGGGCAACGCGGAGTTTTTTCCAATCAGCAGCCAGCTGTAATCTTCCGTCAAGAGCTACTTGGTGTTTCCCGCCTTTTTTTTGACCGGAAAAGGAGCGCCCCTTCAACAACTACTTCCAACTTCCAAGTAGTCTCTTTGTTTGAGGGGAGGTAAAATCGAGGCTGGACCGATGGACAATACAGTCGTTGTTCTATTGAAAAGAAGGAGCAGGGAAATCGCTTTCCATTTCTGTAAAACTAAGACAAACTCAAACACCAAGGGGAAGTCTGGCGCACTGGCCTATCATTTTCTCCAATCCCCCTTGAGCCAACCCTCTGAGCCAGAGAGCCATAGGATGGCCTGGTCCTCAACGCCCCGGCCAAGGTAAATGTGCAACTGGTTTTCGTCTGGGCGCGACACAGTCACAATTTTCACACCCTGTCCCTTCAAAGCCTCGCCGGTGAACGTGACAGCCCCAAAGCGGTCGCTCTATCATACACTCAGGGCCTCTACGGGAAGAGGGGGGTAGCATCCCGCTCTGCGACCCAAGAGGAACCATGTTTGCCCTGGCGTATGGAGTTAAAGCACCAAGGAAACAGTTGATATGTTGTATTGATAGAGTTTCATCCGTGCCAACTGAGGCAGGATGGTGTCCATACACAGTACTTTGGAGATGCACCATTTTGCATGTTATCGCCGTTATCGCGAGGGAAATCGGCCAATGACCAGCCTTTTTTGCATGTGTCGGTTGTGACTTGCATGATGACCGCTGTATAGTCTATACAAGTGCCGTTGTATGATTCATTGTGGCTAGTAATGGGCCTAGGGAGGGTAGCTATATGGGGAGTGTAGAGAACTACTCATGCCTTTTTCACTTGACCCCCGCTGAAATGATCACATATTTTCTAGGCAATTAAGGCGAGCTTGTCCGGGGTTCGGATGCCCCACCAACTACTTTTAGGGGCCTAAAAGTTGCTCTTGGCCGTTTGGGGGGCCAGGCATGCTTGAGTTGACTGGGGGCTGTTTCCCACGTAGCGCACTGCAGCGAACTGCAGTCAGACAACAACATGTCTGTTCGAATTACAATAACTCTTACCTTGTCTACCTGTTTGCCTAAATCTTACCTGGACACTGGCACCTCGCCTCGTTGGGCTCACTTTGCAATTGGCACCTCGCCTCGTTAAATACGATTTTGAAAAAACACCTCACCTTGCCTCCGTGAGCCAAACACCCCCCCACGTTGCTAACGCAGGCAGGCTCTCAACCCCAGGCCCAGTTTACCCCTAGTGAAACGACCAACCAGAAAGTCTGACAATGATAGTGGTCGAACAGGAAATGACCGCAAATCCATTTCCGGCTTAGACTGCTGGCAAAATGGCAGGTGCTTTCTTTAAAGCAACCACTTGGTGGATGGTTTCAAAGAGAAACCATTTTGAAACCTGCCACTTCAGGAGGCGCACGGGTCTCTCTCGGGGGCCTTTGCCGCTATGGACCTCCACGAGCGTGGGTGCGCCCTCTGCAGCTTTTCGCCTTTTGGGTGAGGGGGTTCAGTAATAGCGAAAACGCGGGGTTCCTTTGGTTTTCCGTGTGTTTGCGTGGGTTTCCTGGGTTTCCCGTTTGGTTTCGCTTTGGCATTCCTTTGGTTTGTCTTGAAACCGGCCTTCAAATGGGGCACCATCGACCAAAAATGCACGCCCAAGGTTTGAGAAGGCCTTCTGCTCCGCGTGGCTCCGCCCTGACCCCTTTAAGGGGAACAAACGAGGTTGAAACGAGCAGCCAAGCCCGGGAAACCCGATGAGTTGGCTCAACAATTGTGGCTTCTTGCCATGAACATTTTCGCCAAGACTTGTGGGTGCCTTCAAAGTATTGCCTGACGCTCGGCTGGAAACAAGCACAGACTTTCATTTGGAGTGAGGGTTATTCATCGGGGGTAAGCATTCGGGTTATTCATCGGGGTAATTTAGACCAACCCAGGTTTCCACAAGCAACCCAGGGTTAGTGGCCTCTTCTTGCTGATACAACGCCTCCGCCGCCCTCGAATATCCTGGTGCCTGCGGCCCCTGCGAGAACACCACTGAAAAGGGTACCCGCACCAAAAAAGAGAAACAAACCCAACTTCCACCGCCTGCCACGTCGTGCAAACATACGATTGATTCACACTCACAAACGTCCCGAGGCCGGCGACCAGACCTGGTAGCCCACAACAACAAAAGGCGGTACAACACCACGAAGTGCTCGGTGGTTTGAAAGTGCCCTTGGGTTCTAATCACCATTTGTAGAAGCAGCACCCCTGAGAACCTGAACACCGATCGGCGCGAGGTACGTGTCCTTTGGGGACTTTCACTCGCACCTTGCGAGGTCCTCAGGGGCGAGAGAGGTGAGCAGCGTCGGCGGACGCTTCAGGTCAGAGGCTTGAGACGCCAAAGAGTCAGGCCCTATTTGGCCAAACAAGCGGTTTGGCTTGCGGGGGTGTCCAGGACTTTGGACGACGGAGTCGCCAAGTCACCGAGCGACAAATATTGCGCCTTGGTCGATCGGGCACGGAAACCAACCCCCAGCCATTGGCTCACAGGAATCACTCTCCAACTTGCCAGCTGCACTTTGGCTCAGGTATTCTTGGCAAACCACGAGGAGCTGGGGAGAACCCTCCGGTAGCTATGCTCCATTCAGTTTTCTTGGGTTAGGAAGCAGCAAGCTTGGGGACGTTTCCGGTTGCGATGCCACTGCAACGAGATCAATTCCACGGGCTTGGGCCAGCTGTCAAAGGCGCACCTAAACCAAGGCACACTCCCTCATGGCTTGGAGCTCCTTGCACACTACATGAGTCTTGAAAAGCAGCATCGGGGGCTCAATTCTCACTTATAGACACATCAGCGTTCCCGTGGGAATCTGGATTTTAAATAGAAAAATCTGCAATCAAGCTTAGCCAATATAACTGTTGACACATCGTTTTTCTCTCTACCCGGTCGTACTTGGAGCTGTTGCCCTTTTCGGACCTCCGCGTCTCCGGGCACCGCCTGGGCGCTCGCCGTTTGTGCCCGCAATGGCCACCAACGGCGCTCAGGGCGGTTCTCAACCGGAGTATCGCGGCAATCTCTTCAACGAGCATAGCAAACGCCCCTTTCTCGCATGTTGATCTGCTCGGTTGTTTCCGCTGCCCCCAACTCCCTTTTTGTATATATATATATATATACAGCCTGTATAGTGACTACATAGTGGCTGTATCACTGTTTGTCCGATAGTATATCCGACTAACCTGGGTAGTGGTTTGGCATAGTGGGAATCGCTGAGATTTGAGCGTTCAAAAACGAAAGCTGAGCATCATTCTTTTTGGTTTGATATTGCTTTTGGGTGGCTTCCTTGTGGTTTTAACCAGACCTGCCCACAATCTCTGGCCATGATGATTCGACATTTCCAGATGGTCGCAGCTTTGCATTTTGGATCCTTGCACAAGTCAGACCGACATATTCAATGTGCGGGCCTCCATGGTTCGTCAGAGGGAGGCGGGAGCCCAATCTGAAATCCTCTGGCACCCAACCGTTTGGGCCTTTGACCTCTTTCCGAGGCTTTAGTTCAGCTTGCTTGGATGGGAGGCCATGATTCAGACACGCCCCCATCCCCAATCCCCCGCCCAACACGAGCGGAGTATGTGCAACGCAAACAGTTTGTTTGGTCGGCTTGCAACGTGGGCCTGCCTTTACTTGGTTGGAGCCCTTTTGGATAGTGTTTTGAAGCGACGCAGCGGGAAGCTGCGAAACCCTTTTTTTGGGGAGGAGGGCACTAGCTCTCTTGGTGCTGCTCTCAGTTTCCATATCGATGGGTCCATCTCTCCATTTCACAATCAACTTGTTCTCCCGTTCTCCCGGTGGGTTTGAAGGCAACGGTGCCGGTTTCTGACTTGGCCCGGAGGGAGGGCAATTGAACTGCCCCCCAGCCCAGACCTTGGGAGCGACGACAGACAGCAGTGGCCATGCATAGCGGTCTGATGGTTGTAAATTTTGAGGTCCTATGCAAACCCGCATGACCATGTTGGTTGAAAGTGTTCGTTATTTCTTTCTTTCTTTCTTTCTTTCTTTCTTTCTTTCTTTCTTTCTTGGTTCTCGGATCTCTTGGTGGTTTGTGGAGTCGATGTTCAACGCATTTTTTTCATGGTTACATATTTACAAACCCCTGTGGTCTCTCAAATCATAGTCAACTCATGTACTTGCCCACGATGGGTTTAGCATCCAGGCGACCCGGGGCGGGGGGGGGGGGTCCGACTCCTGGAATTCCACGCGTAGTTCCGTTTTTCATTTTGTGGGGAAGAGTGGAGAAAAGGGATCGTGGACACTCCTACCCTGCGTGCCTTTGCCTTGAGGTCTTGACTAATAACCATGGTGATGCACGGTGAACTTGCGGGGTGAAATTTCCAAGAAGCCTCCCAAAGATTTCCCACATTCAAGAGACTAATTTCAGTTGACACTGGGCGCAAGGCTCTGGAACGCCAAGGGAATCTCTTGAAAGCGATCGATTCTTTCCCAGGTAGCCACGATTTTCATTGGACCATCTCAAAAGTGGTTCGTGCGCATGAATCCCCAACGAAATTTGATGTCCGCCAAAGGGTCCCTGATTAAATTTACACCCACTTCGGTATCACAGACAGGTTGGGGATTTTCCACCAGGGCCGCTTGAGTGACAATCCGCTGGCTCCAAGCCCGGGACCTTGTTCAATCCACGGTGCACGGGTATGAATGGATGACAATAGAGGGAAGTGGATATGCAACACTTAGCTTATCGTGTGGATAATATACAAATATGTATGAACAAACCCCTGTCGAACCTACATGCTAACAAACTTTGGGTTTGGGAACGAGGGGTTCCCACTTCTGTGAGACCAGAGAGCCTCTTCGAGTTCGCCGCTCGGCAGGCCTTCCATTGGTATCACAGTGGCCAAATCCCACAGCCATGTCAGAGAGCTCAAAACCCCTATTGGCAGTTTTAGTAGGTGGGTTCTACTACCTGCTCTTATGATGGTTGTAGTAAAGTGTGTGCAACCTAAACGATGTTGATCGAAATTCCAAAGTTGATGGGTGGAAGCTGTCCAAGTCGACCCGACTTTTCCGGCAAGCGCTGAGGAGAGGAGTACTTCGTGCTGCGGGGAGGTGTTTTGCGAGCACGCGGTAGCGATCAGGAGCAAGCCGTGCCTCGGTTCGGCGCTTGCCGTTATTTTGTTGGTTGGTTATTGTCATTTTGGGTTCTTGGATTTTGCGCGTTTCTTTTTTGTCACTCAGTCAGCCAGCCAGCCAGCCAGTCAGTGCAGGCAGGCAGGCAGGCAGGCAGGCAGGCAGGCAGGCAGCCAGGCAGCCAGCCAGCCAGCCAGCCAGCCAGCTAGGCAGCCAGCCAGCCAGCCAGCCAGTCAGTCAGTCAGTCAGTCAGTCAGTCAGTCAGGCGGGCAGCCAGTCTGGCAAACAGTCAGTCAGGCAGTCAGTCTGGCAGGCAGGCAGTCTGGCAGGCAGGCAGTCAGTCAGTTAGGCTAGGCAGTCAGTTAGGCAGTTAGGTTAGGTTAGGTTAGGTTAGGTCAGATCAGATCAGGTCAGGTCAGGTCAGGTCAGCTTGCTTGCTTGCTTGCTTGCTTGCTTGCTTGCTTGCTTGCTTGCTTGCTTGCTTGCTTGCTTGCTTGCTTGCTTGCTTGCTCATTTGTTTCTTTCTTTGCTTGTTGGTTCGTTTGTTTCTTTGCTTCTTTGCTTCTTTGCTTCTTTGCTTGTTTTGCTTGTTGGTTCGTTTCTTTGCTGATGTCGTTTGCTGGGAGATCCACTTATTTTGTGCTTTGTCCTTTGAAATTCACCAATGCAAGGGGGAAGTGGTAAAATTGACAGTATCAGTATTGTTCTTCTCAGCACCTTTCTTCCTTTTGGCGGTGCTCCCTTCGACATCTACCAGCACTTGTCCAATCGAGTTAGCCGTTTTTCACTTCCTGTGCTGTCATTTCCGCTTAAACCCAACTAACAACTGTGTGGTGGATTTGACACCTCTTCTTTTTCTTTGGATGTCCGTAGCCTGGACATCTCAGCAGTCATAGCCTGTCCGGTTTTCCCGTTACACACTTTATCAGTTTCGACAAACAAAGTGCACTTCCCGGTTTTTCGTTTGCGTTGTCCTGGTGGCTCCCAGCAACCCCCCTAGTTGTTTTTTTGTTTTTAAATCTTTTTAGGGTTTAGTGGGGATTTCCGTTGAACACACTAAAAGTTAAAACTTCTAGCAGGGGATCTGAGGGCAGCCCAGTTGTTTTTTCCCGAAAGCATCGCGAATGGTTCTTCCGTGCGGAGCTCTTGGACTAAATTACACAGAGCGATACACAGAGTGGGTTGCGCAGAGCCAAGTTGCACAGAGCCAAGTTGCACAGAGCCAAGTTGCACAGAGCCAAGTTTAAAAGAGCCAAGTTTCAAAGAGCCAAGTTGCACAGAGCCAAGTTGCACAGAGCCCAGTTGCACAGAGCCAACTTGCACAGAGCCAAGTTGCACAGAGCCAAGCCACGCAGAGCCAAATACACAGAGCCAAGTGTATAGAGCCAAGTACGAAGAGCCAAGTCACACAGAGCTAAGTTGCACAGAGCCAAGTGACACAGAGCCAAGTGCATAAAGCCAGGTGCGCAGAGCCAAGTGCGCAGAGCCAAGTGCATAGAGCCAGGTGCATAGAGCCAAGTGTCTAGAGCCAAGTGTGTAGAGCTCGGCGTCAGCAGCTGCGGAAGTGAAGTTTGAGATTCATATAGAAGATACTTAACGCGCCTGAAAGAAAGAAAGAAAGAAATAAAGAGAAAGAGCTCGGCCATAAGAATCTTTTGAAGGCCGGGGGTGGGGATCTTCGAGAAAAGCCCTGGTTTTTTTGAGGTCGCGCGCGCAGATCAAAATAGTAAAACGCCCTCAGCTTTTCAACATCGACCGCGCACCACGCTGATCTTGCAGAGGGCCGATGTTCAAAAACTCAGGCGGCTTTGCAACTTCTGCCTCTGGGGAGATTGTGCGTGTCGAAGCGCTCTTTCTGTGGCGCCGTGCGCTTTGCTTGCTCACAAAGTAGCCTTTTCGGAAGTTGTCTCGTGGTTTGCGCGCCTGCTTCAATCCTTTTTCCCTGGCAGCTCCGGCTGGAAAATCGCAACTTTCAAGTGCGAAAGTAGTATGCGAAGTGCACTTCCGCAGCTCCGCGTACGAAACTGTTACGCGAATAGGGGAATGTTCACAGCAACTTGCTGAGAGAACTTGCTTGGAGACCTTGCTCAGAGGAACCGCGCCAACAACTTGCTCAACTTGCACAGAGATCTTGCTTCCGAGGAAGTCGCGCCGACAAATTGCTCAGAGCAACTTGCAAAGAGGACTTGCT